TCATCATTGCTGGAAATACTTGGACCCAGACGTCTGTTGTTCGAGGCCCCGGTGACACATCTAACAAACGCGTGTGCGATAAATCCATACGAATGTTGGACTAATGACATAACCTATAGGATAGTTTTCTTCACTTCCGTTGTGTGTGTGTCTCATATACTTCTTGTCGATGCAGGCGAACCACAACAACGCACGGTCTTACACTCCTATTTACAAGAAGATCAGACGCCGCAGTTGTGGATTTCTCTGTATTATGTGGACGGTTATCATTTTCAAGTGCTTATTTTCGAGATTTTGGGACAATGCCATTGTTTCTTTCGTGCCGCGGATCTGCCAGAACCTTTACGCCAGTGCTTGATTTGAATGCAAAACAAAGACCCTTCATGATGAAGACGGAGCTTGGTGGTGAAGTCCCCAGCGCATGCTGCCTTGGTGGTGGAGTCCCCAGCGCATGATGTCCAACAGCGTGCCAGAGAGTGAAAAAGAGATTCTGACCGGCTGTGTCTCTTTTTATACGCAGTGGTTTGACGTATGTGTTTGCATTCGGGTTCGTGGGCTCCATCTTGTTTTTGTTTGAGCTTGTGTGTGTGTGTGTGTGTGCGCTCTCCTGTGCCAGTTGATGGGCACTTGCACTGCTGCTTGCCCACCTCATTCGGCGCGAGCCACACCGAGTTGTGACAATATTCACGATGTTTCGATCCATCCCCCCGCCATGTGCGCCTTTCGTTGTTTGGCAAGTCTTCTTCTCTTGGTACCCGTGGTGAAGGCCGCCCGCCCGGGCCTTGAGATTTTGAGGCAAGAGGCCCTTGTGGCCAAGAGCAACTTTTGGAAAGATCCGTGCGCCGAGTTGGGTGCCAAGAGGAAGCGGAAACTCTCAAGAATCTTCAAGAAAGGCACCTTGTGCCAATGCCAAGAGGACTTTTTCACGAATGTCCAGTGTGACAGACCTTTGGTCAAAGACTTCATCCTGAGAGAGACTCCCTCCAAGTGTCGATGCGAAGAAAACCCTTGCAAAAAGTTCCATGCCAAGATGCTCAACGGCTACGAACAGTGCAAATGTCATAAGGGACTTTCAACAAGCAATCACTGTGAGAAGCCTCTCGCCAAACTCTTTAGCCTGTCTGCCCGAATGCCAGCCGAATGCCGCTGTGACCAGACAGATCCTTGCGAGAAATTTGGAGCCGAGGCAGCTGGTGCCGACCGAGCGACTGGAGAAGTTCTTTGCCTTTGCCCTGAAAAGTTTGCAGCAGTTGCGAGCACCAAGTGCTCAAGACCAGGCCAACGAGTCTTCTCTGCTGTGGGCAACGTCCTTGGATGCCACTGCAAGCAAGCGGGAATCTACGCAAAAAGCGTGAAGAGTCCGGTGGAGACTGCTGCGCTGGCATTCTGCGAAGCAGCGGCCAAGATGAAGGAGCCGCTTCCGTCGAAAGTCCCTCCAGCGTCAAAGTGCAAGCAGCAGCTCTCACATGGCACGACAAATGGTGGCTTCGGCCGCTTGGCTGTGTTGCTTCAACAGGCTCCAAAGACCGCCGCGTGGCATTTGACCCGTGTTTGCCACGATGAATGCGAAGAGCTGGTGAACGAAACGAAGGAACAATTAAAATGGATCCTGAGGGACATCACCCCAGGAGCCAGACCTGTCGGGGAGACGTGTGCTGCTCGGGTGGTGAAGAAGGTCGAAGCAGAGGTTTTCGGTTGTTGCGGCCGTTCCTGTGGTTGGAACGGCCGCGGCTGCATTTCGTGGCCATTCTTCGATGAGCAGCAAAAGGCTGATTGGCTGGCTGAGTGCTGCACTGAATATAATGCCAGCGCCTCAGTGGACTCCAAAAACAACGAAATGCATGTTCTTGTAGGTGCCCTTTTTCCCAAAGACATTTTTCTCCCAAAAGAACCGGATGGATAACAATCTGGATCTGGTACTTTGGTTAGGTGCCTGATCACACTTCAAACGCACTTGCTGCAGAGGAGAGGCCACTAAACTCATGAAGCCAAGAGGGGCTGCTGGTTTTTGAACCGACGATGTTGCTGTTTATATAGCTTTTTCCTCAGGTCTTGAAGAACTCCAGCCGGGAAGAGATGTGCAACTCGGTGCTGAGCACGCACGATGCAGACTTGGCCTCCAAAAACGACCTCAGCCAGGAGGGCAAAGATGTGGCCGCGGCCTATCTTGGCCAAGACTTCCAACTTCTCTGGACCCAAAAAGGTGTCGACTCCGAGATGGGCCGGAACTACACCTGGCTGCAGCCAAAGCCGGAGGCTGGGAAGGAAGTGACTGACCAGCTCCTACAGCTTCAGCCCAACATCCGAAAGAAGGCGCTCAACGAAGGCTGGTTTAAGGAGAAGAAAATGGAGTCAGCTTCGCTCATGCAGATGCGAGACACAGGTGCCAGCTGCGATCCCAAGGTCATGGAAACGTGCACGGGTGACATGCAGAAGTGGCGCACGCGCGCCTGTGCAAAGCAGCAAGGGTGGCAGTATACCCATGTAAAAAAAACGTGCAGAATGATGACGAAAAACAAGAGGATGGCCAAGAGCCCCTACGAATGCTTGGAGAAGACGCAGTACGGTGATGTGGGCACCATCCGACACTTCTTGTTTCAGTACAAGAAGGTGGACTTGTCTGATGCAGCCGCAGGGCAACATCCGATTTGGTGCTATGCCGCAGCAGAGAAGACACCATGCAACCAGAAGCCACGCTCCCTCCAACAGGCCCAGGAGATGGAATTCGACCGGATTTGGTTCTGGATTGATGCATCCAGTGCTGCCGATGCCAAAACGGCGTTCGGAAACGTTTGAGGTCTTTCAGGCTCCTGAAGAAAACAATCTCGGGCTGCCAGCTTGGACATGGACAATAGGTATGACAAGTCATATACTTATATGTACACTATTGATGGGTGTGGCTTCGGTGTGGCCTGCTTGGAACCCATCATTGCCGTGCTTTGTTCGATGTGATGGCGGCAAAGTTTGCAAGTCATGGAACCGTGAGACTTGCAGTCTTTTTATATAACAGATGTGACACGTCATTTGTGCCTTTTTTTTGCCATGTTTGTTGTTGTTTCGTAGCGTCTGCTTGACCGACCATGCGCTTGGGACAGGTGGTCCGTGCGCTTCAAACGGGGCTGGAGACAGGCACTCGGGACAGGTGGCTTTGCTGGAGCTGTTGAAGAGTTCTACTGGTTGTTTTCGGAGTTGGTTTGTTGTAGGCGTTTGGGGCAAGAGGTATTGGACCTTCAGCCGACCCAGTGGCTTGCTTTTGCCGTCTCGATGTCCACCTTGGTTTAATGTTCCACGCCATGTAAGAGGGGGAATGCCTCCTTCACTCAGAGCGTAGATCACGTCTTGAGCCGTTTTGTTAAGCAGGAGAGTGATTTTCTTGCCGAGGTGATACCAAATTCTTTCTTGAGCTTGCTTGTGCAATTTGCGGTTGGAATTCGCAACTTACACAACTTTTGACTACTGTTGAGCACATGAAAAATATCAATTGATTGTGATGGGTCAAGAAAAGGATCTGCCAACTTAGCCAGTTGTGGGCAGACCCAAAGGCAATACGTTTTCTGCTGGACCTCCTGCTGCTTTACCCCGGCCTTCAGGGGGAAGTGCTCGCAACACACTCCGAAATTCTTGATCGCGAGTTCAGGTCACCCTGGTTTTGGGAGAAAGATGTGATCATTGAGTTCTTAAATTTTCTCAAGGCTTTCGCTGGCCTGGGTTGATTATCTTAAGCCTGCTCTCTCTGCAATCTTGGAAGAGTTGATTCATGTCTTTCTGAAGCTCAGAGAGATAGAGAGAGAGAGATGTTAGTTGAATGCGTTGCTCAGTGCAACAGCATCAGGACCCTTGGCCCTGTGATACAGAACAATGAAGTTCTATTCCGTTTTTCAGTCTGCCAAATTCTTTGAAGATTAAGTATGGTTCACCAAGCTTGTGATGCTAGAAACTGACAAGTTTGCAGTCACTGAGGGCACATCTTATGTGAGGCGTGAAAGAGACCATAACTGTGCCAGGGCCTGATAGAAAGCTGATTCACAAAGAGCGACTCGGGCAGCTGAAGGCTAAGCATGGGAGCTGGGGGCTTGCCCCACTTCACATTCGTTCTAATAGCTAATAGCAGCCCCAAGAGTTTTGAAACCTGACTCGAGAGGAACGGAGTAGCGTTATTTTTTGTCTACTTCAGCAGCCTTGGGTGTTTGCTCTCGCGGATTGGTTCGCTTCTGTGCTTACTGTGCTTTATTGTTTTGAGGCAGGGTCAAAGTTTTGCGCAAGTCTGTTCAAGGCCTCATGGAATAATCTTCAAGTCCTCCAAGACCTCGCAAGTCTCTTCAAGGCCTCAGATGGATGTTGTGGGTGTTCTCATCTGCTTGACATTGCTTTGTTGCTCTGAGGAGTGGCAGGCACCGCGCTGGGGAAGTTGAGTTGTGCGCTTGGCATTGGTTGATCACTTCATATCAGCTCGAAATTTTCAAATCTGTGTCATTTGACTGCGTGTCTCAGAGGGAACAGGACGGGATAACTCCATTCAACACCTCTCGGAGTGTGGGTTGTTTATTGTTGCTTTCTTCATAAGTTTCTGTGATCTCAGCATCCCCCAACACGGAAACACTCTTGGTTAAGGAGACTAGGAGACCTTCAACATTAAAGTCTGCTGAGGCCCTCATTCAAGGCCATCTTGATGGGCATCCTGCCCGGTGAGGTGGGATGCCTTGGACTGATGTGACAGAGGTGGAAGGAGTTGCTGCTACGTGTTTCTCTGGGAAATACCGCAAGTTTTTGTTTTTTTTTCAGCTCGTGTGCTTTGCTGCGCAGTAGTGGAAGCAGTTGTCCACCTTCACTACTGCTCGTCCACTTTCTTTCAGCGTGAGCCACATATTGGCTGTGGCATACCCCAGCACAAAGCAGAATACCCAAACTTAATCAAAGAGACCCTCACATTGAAGTTTCCAGTCCCAGAAAAGGTCATTGCTGTGTTTGGGAGTCTGCTGAGGCTCTCATTCGAGAGCACCATGACTTGCATTCTGCCTGGCCAGGTGGGCTTGGATTCCAGTTTTATGTGTTTCGACCCTGATGTGACAGACGTGGAAGGAGTTGCTGCCAGACTTCTGACCCAAACAAGGAAACATTAAAGTTACGCGCGAGTTTGTTTTTGTTTGCTTGTGTGTGTGCTTTGCACTGCTGCGTGCCCAACTTTTGGCAAGAGACACCTGAGTTGTGGCAATATTCACAATGTGTCCATCCATTCCCGCGCCATGTGCGCTTTTCGTTGGTTGGCAAGTCTTCTGCTTTTGCTACGAAGGCCGCTCGTCCGGGCCTTGAGGTTTTGAGGCAAGAGGCCCTCGCGGCACAAGGAGCTTCGAAGCCGCCCTTGCTCGCGCTTTGAAGCCAAACTCTTGCGGCCCGACCCAGCGACCGAAGTCCTTTGCTCTTGTTTGCAGGGGAGAAAGGTTGCGAACTCCGTTCGAGGCCGGGGCAACGTGTCTTCCGGCCGTGTGGGCAATGCCAAGGGGTGCCAATGCTGGGAGAAGGCAAGGTGGGCAAAGCGTGTGAAGAGCCCGGTGGAGACGGCCGCGCTGGCATTCTGCGAAGCAGCGACCAAGACGGGTGAAGAATACAAAGTTCCCAGGGTGTCTGTGTGTGAGGAGCAACTCTCCAATCGCAAGGCAGCTGGTGCCTATGGGCGCCTGCACACCTTGCTTCAAGCTCCGAAAACGGCCGCTTGGCATTTGGCCCATGTCTGCCGAGACGAGTGTGAAGAGTTGGTGAACAAGACCAAGGGGGAAATGAAGCAGATGCAGACTGACATGAAGGGCATTGCGGCTTTTAAACAATGGAGAGCACCCATACCCATCGGTGAGACGTGTGCGGCCCGCGTGGTGAAGCAGGTCGAAGCGGAGATCTTCGGATGCTGCGGCCGGTCCTGCGGGTGGAACGGTCGCAGCTGCATCTCCTGGCCTTTCTTCGACGAGCAGCAGAAGGCCGATTGGCAGGCTGAGTGCTGTACAGAATACAATGCCAGCATCTCAGTGGACTCTGAACGCAACGAAGCGCATTTGTTTGCAAGTGCTTTTTCAGTCCGATGAATTCCGTTGGGCAACAAATTATATAGATTTGCTACTTTGGTTAAGTGCTTGATTACACTTCAAAAGCCCTTGTTGCAGGCGGGACCCGGGAGGCCACTAAACTCATCAAGCAAAGAGATGCAATTTGACAACCAAAGATGTTGCTGTGTATCAGGTCTTGAAGAACTCCAGCCGCGAAAAGATGTGCAACTCGGTTCTAAACAAACACGATGCAGACTTGGCCTCCAAAGACGACCTGAGCCAGGAGGGCAAAGATGTGGCCGCGGCCTATGTTGGCCAAGACTTGCAACTTCTGTGGACCCAAAAAGGTGTCGACCCTGGCTGCGGCCAAAGCCGAAGGCTGGGGAAGAAGTGACCGAGCAGCTCCTGCAGCTTCAGCCCAACATCCGGAAGAAGGCGCTCCAGGAAGACTGGTCCGAAGAGAGGAAGCTCGAGAGAGCTTCTTTCATGCAGATTGGGCACACAGGCGGCAGCTGCGATCCGGAAGAAATGAAAAGGTGCACTGATGACATGAAGTAATGGCGCACCAGTGTTTGTGCCAAGCAGGAAGGCTGGCTTTTCACGCGGGTGCCAAGCAAGCTGAAGTGCAAGGACATGAGAAAAACCATGAAGCCGGCTACAAGCCCTCACAAATGCTTTGAGGCCAAGTACGACACTGTGGGCACAAACAACATCAAGTACTACGCCTTCCACTACGACAAAGAGGACACCGAGAACCCCATTAAGTGCTACGCATGGTCAGGGGAGACCAGTTGCATGTCGAAGACACCGTTGGCGGAGGCCACGGAGGGCACTGTGTTTGACAGGATTTGGTTCTGGATCGATGCGTCCAGTTCCGAAAGCGCCAAGAGTGCCTAAACGGCGTCCAGAGTTGCTTGTGCTCTGCCAAAAAAGGGTTCCGACCTGGCATGGGTAAACAGAGAATCGTCAATCCTGTCGTAGGGAAGTGTGACACCTCGACCATGACGTTTGTTCTTTGCTAGAAAGCATGTGCAGCTCGTTGACTGTGTGACATCCCGCAGTTTTGCAGGGCAGGCCTCAGAAGGAGAACATGGACACCCGCTCAGAGCTCTTTTGGTGGACGGGTGCGAGTGGGAAGCCCGGCTGTCGATTTTCACCCGACGGACGGAGTTCATCGGATTGAACTCTGACCCTCAGACCAGAAGTGTACCAGCCAAGTGAGACTCTTCGTTTCCTGCCGGCCACCAGGGGCTTGGGATGGCTGGAATGAAGAACCAATTGGTTGGGCTGTTGACTTGTGGGAACCCAGCTTTCAGTCTTTGTGCACGGCAGCGACCGGCTATGGGGGTTCGAAGTGCCCCAAGAAAATTCCAAAAACTCGTCGGCTCATCACCACGTGGCCTCTGTGTGGTCTTCCACAAACTATTCCAAAGGTCATCAAAGGTCTCAAAATGCATATCTACCCAAGGGATTGGGATTATCAAGCAACTTTGACCCCTTCAAGTTACTCCAAATTCTCAGACATGAATCGTGGGCTGCTTGCTTCACCTCATCTGAGGCTTCAAGCCTCTACGGGGGATGATGCTGACAAAAGCGGTGGGGTCCCTGTGGGAAGTCGTAGCTGCTGTCCTGTCTTGTCCTTTTTGGCGGGGGGGGTTGGTGTGAAGATGTTGGCTGTGGCAAAACTAGACCAACAAGTTTTCCAAGATTGTAGAGGGTCAGGGAAGAAGAGAGAGCAATCTAGCCAAATGACACACCCATTCCCAATCACCCAGAAACGCAGACTCACTGGCAGCCTCGGGAGTTCTGCAATCAGGGAGCAACCGAGTTGCAGTTTTCCATCTCGCGGGTTGGTTTGCTTAAGTGTTCTTTGGATTTCTTTGGGGGGTCAGGGTCAAGGTTTTGCACAAGTCTCTGGCATTTGCTGATCACTTCATATGAGTTCGACATGTTCAATTCTGTACCAGGTGACTGCATGTCTCAGAGGGAACAGGACGGGGTGATGTGAATTCCAGGCTTCTTATTTTGAAGATGCTACGCCGGTGCCTTTTGTTTTCTTTGTGTCTGGCACAGTGGCTAGTCCCTTCCACTCCCCGAGAGGTGCATGAATACACCTCTCGGAGTGTGGGTTGGTTTTGGTTTATTTCTTTCTTCGTAGGTTTCTCTGCGTGTCAGAATTCACCAGCGCGAAAACACACGTGGTTAAGGAGACTAGGAGACTTTCAACATCAAAGTTTCAAAGTGGACAGGTCACTGCAACGGTCAGTGCTTCTTAGTCTGCTAAGGCTCTTTTGTGGGGCATCCTGCCTGGTGAGGTGGGCGGTTCCGACCTGATGTGACAGAGGTGCAAAGAAGGGAATCATGAAAATCACATGTTTCTCTAGCAAATGATGTACCTTTTTTTTTCAGCACTCAAGTGCTCTATGGAGCCACCACCTCCACTACTGCTCGTTCACTTCTTTCGGCGCGAGCCACATATTGTTTGTGGCGATCTTCTCTCGATGTTTCGATCCATTCCAGCGCCATGTGCGCTTTTCGTTGGTTGGCAAGTCTTCTTCTCTTGGTACCCGTGGTGAAGGCCGCGCGCCCTAGCCTTGAACTGATGAGGCAGGCGGCCCTTGTGGCGCAAGACGATCCTTGCGAGAGGTTTGACGCCAAGAAGTATAGGACCGGCCGAGCGACCGGAGAAGTCCTTTGCCACTGTTTTGTCAACATGGTAGCCAACTCCCAGTGCTCGAGGCCGGGGCAACATGTCTTCTCCGCTGCGGGCAACGGTGCGGGGTGCGGATGCCAGGGACCGGAGGCGTGGGCAAAGAGCGTGAAGAGCCCTGTGGAGACGGCCGCGTTGGCCTTCTGCGAAGCAGCGGCCCTGGTGGGCGACGAGGACTCAGTCCCCTCGGTGTCCGTGTGCGAGGAGCAACTCTCCAATAGAAAGGCGACGGGTCCCTACGGGCGCTTGGACGCCTGGCTTGCAGAGGCTCCGAAGACCGCCGTTTGGCATTTGCGCCGTGTGTGCCGAGACGAGTGCAAAGAGTTGGTGAAGAAGACGCAGGAGGATTTGTGGCGGATACAGACTGATATGAATGGACAGTGGGGACGTGTGCAGCCCGTCGGTGAGACGTGTGCGGCCCGCGTGGTGAAGCAGGTCGAGGCGGAGATCTTCGGATGCTGCGGCCGGTCCTGTGGGTGGAACGGTCGCAGCTGCATCTCCTGGCCTTTCTTCGACGAGCAGCAGAAGGCCGATTGGCAGGCTGAGTGCTGTACAGAATACAATGCCAGCATCTCAGTGGACTCTGAACACAACGAAGCGTATTTGTTTGCAAGTGCTTTTTGCAAAAGAAAAAAATCACACTCCAAAAGCAATTGTTGTAGGCGAGAGGTCACTAAACTCATCAAGCAAAGAGATGCAATTTGACAACCAAAGATGTTGCCGTGTATACGTAGCCTTCCTCAGGTCTTGAAGAATTCCAGCCGCGAAGAGATGTGCAACTCAGTGCTGAAGAAGCACGATGCAGACTTGGTCTCCAAAAACGACCTGAGCCAGGAGGGCAAAGATGTGGCCGCGGCCTATGTTGGCCAAGACTTGCAACTTCTGTGGACCCAAAAAGGTGTCGACTCCGAGATGGGCCGGAACTACACCTGGCTGCAGCCAAAGCCGGAGGCTGGGGAAGAAGTGACCGAGCAGCTCCTGCAGCTTCAGCCCAACATCCGGAAGAAGGCGCTCCAGGAAGACTGGTTCAAAGAAAGGAAACTCGAGAGAGCTTCTCTGATACAGATGCAGGATACACCTACCAGCTGTATCCCCAAGGAGATGGAAACATGCACTGATGACATGCTGGAGTTGCGCATAAGTGTTTGCGCCAAGCAGGAAGGCTGGCTTTACTCTCACGTACCAAAGAAGATGAGTTGCAAGAAGATGATAGACACAAAGAAGATGGCCAAGAGTCCCTATGAATGCTTCAATGAAGTCGAGTATGGCACTGTGGGTACAATCAAGCACTATGCGTTCCACTACAACAAAGCGAATGCAGAGCAGCCCATTACGTGCTACGCACAACCAGACAAGTCAACTTGCAATTTAAGGACACCACCCGAGCTCGTGCAAAAGGACACGGTCATTAAATTCGACTCGGTTTGGCTCTGGGTCGATGCACCTGTCAAGGCCAAGACCTCTACACCCTAGAATCGCTTGACGTCCTGGCCCGGTGTGAAATAGAGCGGCCTGAGCCGATCAAAACATGGAAAGCTGAAAACCATTGCAACAATTATATGAGTGAAACAAGTCGACCTTTTGTCCGCTATTTGGACAGGCGGTTCGTGCCCTTCAACCTGGGCGGGTTTGGCACTCTGGGCGGGTTTGGCTCTCGGGACGGGTGAGTGGGGACCTGAAAGTATATAACCTGGTTATGTTTTTTTGTTTACTTTTGTGACCCAGGGACCGTCTCAGAGGTATTGGATTTTGCAGAATGCTGACCATTGGACCATTGCGGACATTTTTTGCTCGACTTTGGCAGCACCCGGTGGCTTTTAAAGGTGATTTCTGCCATATGCGATGGGACTTGACACGCCGACAACTCCACATCCCCTACTCTCACCGGATGAGTTTGAACAGCTGGGTGGCAAGGAGGTCGATATGATACACGTGGAAATCGGACCAGACCAGCGCCAGTACCTTGGCCTGTACCTTGCACCAATGGGGATGTCGGAATTTTGAACACAGAGGTGAACAGATGGCTTTGCGCACGTCAAAGCGGTTGGTTTGGCTTTAGAACGGATGGTGCGCTGGACCCGTTGAGACTACTACCGGTCGTTTTAGTTGGCTTGCTTCAACAAGAGGTATTGCTTGGTCTTGGATTGTGGGGGGAACCCCACCGACATCATGGATTGCTTCAAACCGCTTGTTTTTTGGCGTGAATTGCTTTCCGGTTTGGGGGAACGCCCCAAGCTCCGATGGCGTCCGGACTGCCTCGGACGCCGGGCCCGGAGCCTCCGAGGCATCGATCCGGCCCAGCGGCCGCGACGCAGGCCGTCGGCAGGCGGCGCGGAGGAGCGGTGCTCGGACCAGCTTGGGAGGCGTATATGACTACACTTTTTTATAAATACTAGTTACTGTAGTTACATACAGTTACTGGTTGTTCTTGGCAGGATGATGCCGGTTCTTGCCGAGGATATCCGGTGTGGAAACAGTTCTTCTTTCCATATGCGACCACATTTTTGCATTCTTTTCTTGATGTCGGTTTCGTCACAAAACTATGGCAGAACTGCAAATGGAGCATGCAACCTGGCCGTTTGCGTCCATGTCCGGATTTCAAGCTCCTTTGCGCAGGAGTCTCCGCTTTGATGCTCGGCGTCGAGTAAAAGATTGGAGCTGACTTGATTGGCCGGGTGTTTTTGGCCATGCCCGTTCTTTTGGGCAACTCCATGAAAATACCACCAAACAGAGGAACATCCATTGAACACGCATTGACATCCCAGGGATCCCCTCATTCTCGGACAGCCTATGTTCGCTTCTTCGCTTCTTCAGCAAAGAAAACGGGAAAACTGTGAGCAACCTGTTTGGATGAGTCGGTGCTTGGTCCACCCACACCTTCGGCTTTTTCCAAAGCAAAGTGTCAGCCACCTGGGTCGGTGGCAGTGGGATTTTCATCGCTTCATCCCAATGCCAAAGTGTTGCACATGAAGGGCGCCCATGAACCCCACGCAAAAGGGAAGGTCTTTGCCTGCATCTCTCGCATTGGTCGTGGATTAGCAGCGACTAGCGTTCTTAACCAACAAAGGACACGTGTGGCTACAGTTTCGATACACCACGGTAACAGCTTGCCAGCCTCTCAGTCTACAGCAGGTGCATGCTTCAACGCGCCTTTGCGCAGAAACACAGCTGTGGACCTTCAAGCACAATCCCTTGTCCCTCCTCGGCTGGGCGGGTCTGGCGCCAAGGCTTTGGCGATCTGCGCGGAGGCGACCGGCGCAGGGTCATCCAAGAAACGTCCAAATATAGGACGCGCTACTTGTTTTGCCGGCTGGCTCCGTCATCCTTGAAAGAGCCTGCAAGCATAGAGCTTGTTCAATGTTCTCCACGCTTTACGCCCCTATAGTCTGGCTAGCAATAGGGGTTTCTAACATGGCGGGGCGGCCGTCGGAATAAAGGAGTTTCCAAATGGCCCAACGTGTCTTTTGTGTCATTTTATGATTCATAAGTTTGGTAGCGCAGTGTTAATTGCAGTAACAATGATTCGTGACCTTGCTTCACACAACTGTCAAACGTTTGATGGAATCCAAAAAGTTCGATGCCCAGGAAACGTCATAGACCATGAATATCATAGACATCGCCAATACGGGGGTTATATGGAATGCGTAGGAATGTTCAGAATGTCCCCAATCAGTTGGACTTGTTTCTACGTTTGTTGAGTTTGGCGCATTTGCCAAGCCGTCAAGTTGTCAAGCCACAAGAAATGCACTGAGCACCTCTCCGAGAGTGACGTTGGTCATTCTTTATGGGTGTTTTTGCATATCAGTATAGTATTGAAACTTGGTTAAGGAGACCTTTAACACTAGTCTGCTCAGGCTCTCATTCGAGACCATCGTGACTTGCGTCCTGAACGCACGAGCAGGTGGGCTGCCTGGATGTTGCTTTGTGACAGAGGTGGAAGGAGTTGCTGCCAGATTTCAGACGTAAAGAAAGGATTCACGTTGATTTCTCGTGGACATAGAGCACGTTTCTGCTTTTGTTTCAACTTGAGCGCTCTGCTGAGCCAGTAGTGGAAGCAGTTGTCCACCACCTCCACTACTGCTTGTTCACTTCTTTCGGCACGAGCCACATATTGACTGCGGCAATACTCACAATGTTTCCATCCATCCCGCGCCATGTGCGCTTTTCGTTGTTTGGCAAGTCTTCTTCTTCTTTTGCTACTTGTGGTGAAGGCCGCCCGCCCGCGCCTTGAACTTGTGAGTCAGGAGGCCTTTGTGGCGCAACGAGATCCTTGCAAAAACTTTAGAGGCCGAAAGAAAGGCACCAGGTGCCTTTGCAAGGGAAGGTTTGTGACAAACTCACACTGCCAGAAGCCTTTGGCGGAAGCCTTTGACCTCACAGAAATTCGCAATGGTTTGTGTCGCTGTGAAGATCCTTGCGAACAGTTTCATGCCAAGAAAGAAGGCTCTTGGTGTCAGTGCCATGAAGGACTAGCAACAAATAATCACTGTGAGAAGCCTCTCACCAAAAGCTTCAGCCTGTCTGATGCCTCTGAATGCCGCTGTGACCAGACAGATCCTTGCGAGGACTTTGGAGCCGAGCCACATGGCACCGACTCACTGACCGCAAAAGTTCTTTGCCGCTGCGTTTTCAGGGAGGTTGCGAGCCTTGAATGCTCCAGGCCTGGCCAAGAATTCTTCTCCGCTGAGGGCAATGCTGCTGGATGCGGATGCCAGGATCCCGATGACTACGCAAAGAGCATCAAGAGCCCCGTGGAGACGGCCGCCCTGGCGTTCTGCGAAGCAGCGGCCAGGAAGGGTTCCAAACACAACGTCCCCCCACTGTCTGTGTGCGAGGAGCAGCTCTCGAATCGCAGGGCGGCTGGTGCCTATGGTCGCCTAGACGCGTTGCTTCGAAAGGCTCCGAAGACCGCCGCTTGGCATTTGACCCGTGTGTGCCACGACGAATGCCAAGAGCTCGTGAATAAGACGAAGGAGAAAATGCATGTGATACAGAGGGACATGTCTCATCGGGCCATACCCATCAGTGAGACGTGTGCGGCCCGCGTGGTGAAGAAGGTCGAAGCGGAGATCTTCGGATGCTGCGGCCGGTCCTGTGGGTGGAACGGTCGCAGCTGCATCTCCTGGCCTTTCTTCGACGAGCAGCAGAAGGCCGATTGGCAGGCTGAGTGCTGTACAGAATACAACGTCAGCATCTCAGTGGACTCCAAGCACAGCGAAACGCATTCTTCAAGTGCTTTTTCAGTCCGATGAATTTTGTTGGGCAACAAATTAGATTTGCTACTTTGGTTAAGTGACGTGCTTGATTACACTTCAAAAGCCCTTGTTGCAGGCGAGAGGCCACTAAACTCATGAAGCAAAGAAATGCTTTCTTAGAACCGAAAGATGTTGCTGTGTATACGGTATACGTAGCCTTCCTCAGGTCTTGAAGAATTCCAGCCGCGAAGAGATGTGCAACTCGGTGCTGAGCACGCACGATGCAGACTTGGCCTCCAAAAACGACCTGAGCCAGGAGGGCAAAGATGTGGCCGGGGCCTATGTTGGCCAAGACTTGCAACTTCTGTGGACCCAAAAAGGCGTCGACTCCGAGATGGGCCGGAACTACACCTGGCTGCAGCCAAAGCCGGAGGCTGGGAAAGAAGTGACCGAGCAGCTCCTGCAGCTTCAGCCCAACATCCGGAAGAAGGCCCTCCAGGAAGACTGGTTCAAAGAAAGGAAACTCAAGAGAGCTTCTCTGATACAGATGCAGGATACACCTACCAGCTGTATCCCCAAGGAGATGGAAACATGCACTGATGACATGCTGGAGTTGCGCATAAGTGTTTGCGCCAAGCAGGAAGGCTGGCTTTACTCTCACGTGCCAAAGAAGATGAGTTGCAAGAAGATGATAGACACAAAGAAGATGGCCAAGAGTCCCTATGAATGCTTCAATGAAGCCAAGTATGACACTGTGGGTACAATCAAGCACTATGCGTTCCACTACAACAAAGCGAATGCAGAGCAGCCCATTACGTGCTACGCACAACCAGACAAGTCAACTTGCAATTTGAGGACACCACCCGAGCTCGTGCAAAAGGACACGGTCATTAAATTCGACTCGGTTTGGCTCTGGGTCGATGCACCTGTCAAGGCCAAGACCTCTACACCCTAGAATCGCTTGACGTCCTGGCCCGGTGTGAAATAGAGCGGCCTGAGCTGATCAAAACATGGAAAGCTGAAAGCCATTGTAAGCGAAACCAGTCGACCTTTTGTCCGCTATCTGGACAGGTGGTTCGTGCCCTTCAACCTGGGCGGGTTTGGCACTCGGGACGGGTGACTGGAGACCTGACAGTACTCCCGGTTGTGACCCAGGGACCGTCTCAGAGGTATTGGATTTTGCAGAACGCTGACCATTGCGGACATTTTTTGCTCGACTTTGGCAGCACCCGGTGGCTTTTAAAGGTGATTTCTGCCATATGCGATGGGACTTGACACGCCGACAACTCCACATCCCCTACTCTCACCGGATGAGTTTGAACAGCTGGGTGGGCAAGGAGGTCGATATGATACACGTGGAAATCGGACCAGACCAGCGCCAATTCCTCGCCTGTACCTTGCACCATAGGGATGTCGGAATTTTGAACACAGAGGTGAACAGATGGCTTTGCGCGCGTCAAAGCAGGTTGGTTTGGCTTAAAAACGGATGGTGCGCTGGACCCGTTGAGACTACTACCGGTCGTTTTAGTTGGCTTGCTTCAACAAGAGGTATTGCTTGGTCTTGGATTGTGGGGGGAACCCCACCGACATCATGGATTGCTTCAAACCGCTTGTTTTTTGGCGTGAATTGCTTTCCGGTTTGGGGGAACGCCCCAAGCTCCGATGGCGTCCGGACTGCCTCGGATGCCGGGCCCGGAGCCTCCGAGGCATCGATCCGGCCCGGCGGCCGCGACGCAGGCCGTCGGCAGGCGGCGCGGAGGAGCGGTGCTCGGACCAGCTTGGGAGGCGTATATGACTACACTTTTTTATAAATACTAGTTACTGTAGTTACATACAGTTACTGGTTGTTCTTGGCAGGATGATGCCGGTTCTTGCCAAGGATATCCGGTGTGGAAACGTTTTTTTCCATATGCGACCACATTTTTGCATTCTTTTCTTGATGTCGGTTTCGTCACAAACTATGGCAGAACTGCAAATGGAGCATGCAACCTGGCCGTTTGCGTCCATGTCCGGATTTCAAGCTCCTTTGCGCAGGAGTCTCCGCTTTGATGCTCGGCGTCGAGTAAAAGATTGGAGCTGACTTGATTGGCCGGGTGTTTTTGGCCATGCCCGTTCTTTTGGGCAACACCAGGAAAATACCACCAAACAGAGGAACATCCATTGAACACGCATTGACATCCCAGGGATTCCCTCATTCTCGGACAGCCTATGTTCGCTTCTTCAAGTACGTGGCACGCTTATCATTCGCTTCTTCAGCAAAGAAAACGGGACAACTGTGAGCAACCTGTTTGGATGAGTCTGTGTTTGGTCCACCCACACCTTCGGCTTTTTCCAAAGCAAAGTGTCAGCCACCTGGGTCGGTGGCAGTGGAATTCAATTTCATCGCTGACTTTTGGGAAGTTAACACTTTTTGGCGGACTTTCCAATGCCAAAGTGTTGCAGATGAAGGGCATCCATGGACCCCAGGTCTATGCCTGCTTACAGCCCGCGTTGGGCAGTGAATTAGCAGTGATTAGCATCCTTCACCAACAAAGGAAACATGTGGCTCACGAGGTGTTGCTTTCAGATTACAATAGTCACTGAGTGTCTCAAGACAAGTCTCGGACCTCCCTGACTAGCAAGTCTCGGAGTGTATCCACCGGGTTTTGGGGTGTACCTAGTTTTCAGATTGGTTCAGCCGCCAAGCATTTCTGGCTCAGCATGTATAAGGTGGTTTTGGCACTCATCACTTAGGCAAAGAGACCTCCTTGGAAGCAGTTCGGGTGCAGTTACTGTAGCCGCTACGCCGCTACACCCGAAGTATCATGCAGCAGTTTTTGTTCCATCTGAGTCAAAAGCAAAATACCACTGATCCTGTTAACAGGAGACAGATATGTTTTTTCGTTTTTCAAAGAAACCACACATATTTATTGTACATGAAGATGGACCAACCCAACAAGAGCTGTCCGCTGCAGGTTCATAGTGACCAGTGTTGCAGGCAAAGAGCTGCATTGCGACATTGTGGTTTCAGAGAAAAAGCTCGCTTCAAACAACTACCACCATGAAAGGTTGCACACCAACAACCTTGCCGCCCTCGGGCAGAAAGGGCGTTTCTAGAGTGCCGCTGTCCTGCTCAAATGGAAAGGCCGGATGGCGTGCTTTAAGGCGCGAGAAAAGAATTCCTTTTTTGAAGCAACCCCTAGGTTCAGTGGTAGACGGAGTGATGGATTGCTCTGTGTCCGTCCCAAATCAGGCACAGCTAGGACACCCGAACGGTCTTTTACTTGTTGTTGCCGGGATGTTGACTATTGACCACTCCCCTACATTTGGGAGAATGCCAGAGAACATGAGCATTGCTTGCATGATGTTACATGTATTTTTGCACTGATCAGAAGTTAAGTCAGTTGAGTGCGTTCAGTCTTCGAGTCCAACGAATTCGCTGCCTTCGGCCGCCCTGGGTTCATCGTTTCGCATTGCACGACTTGTTCCGGTTTTCGAGTGCAAGCTGCGTGGTGCAGGGGCCTTTATTCGGCCTGGCGTCCTCATGAGAGCTCCTCATGGAGCAGAAGGGTGAGGAGGAGGTGGGGGAAAGCAGCTGGGTTGAAACCCAACGGCCAAAGGGCTAAAGGCTGAAGGTTCGAGGTGAAGGGAAGCGAGGGGTTGGAACCTTCACAGACGGATTTGGAAGTCGAATGGACCAATGGGATCGCAATCGGATGGAGCTGTGGGCAAGGGGCCACACACACCGAGAGTCACCAGGAGACAACCCATGACCGAAGTTATCTAATATTGGGGCTTGGGTCGCATCTGACGGGGTCATTCGGAAAACCTCCTAGTCTTTCCCAGACACTTCACGCTGAATACAGTTTGGTTTGACACAAGCCAAGAGTCTCTCACATGTCGGCCCGGCCGTTGGAATAGAGTGTTTCTGCATTGCAGAAAGCTGCCGGTTGGTGCGGATTTGTTGTCAAGAGTATGCTGGAATCCAACAGATTGAGACAGTGGATGGATGTGGGAACTCGCTCAAAAGCTCAAGAGTTTTGGGAATGAACTCCATTTCTTCTTCCTTGCCCCCTGTTTGGGAGATCGCGCGAGCGCTTCGCACTCTCTTCACCAGCGACCATGAATGCCCAGAGGGTAAGAACCAAAGCAAAGATCCACACGGGCAACGACCTGTGGAGCCGCGCACCCACGGCTGCTGCTGATTGCGGAGCGTGGCCGTCCGGACGACGCGTCGAGACGACCGTGATGCGGAGGGACTGGTGGAGGGCATCTTCAGCTGGTCGGCCGCATGGTGCATGATGCTTTGGGCCCGGTGGCCCTGGAGTCCTCGGTTTGGCGGATGGACTGGGCATGGCGGTGGTGACCCACTGCAACACTTCGAAAGCAATGGTAGATGAAGATCCCTTAACTAAAGCAACTGGTTTGTTCACTCTTCGGATGGTACACAGGGTGCTTGGGTGTTTTGAACCATCGCGAAGCTAGAGCATGCTAGAGCCCCGGCAAAGAATAACATGGAATAGATACATAATTAAACAGGATTTGACCAGTTGCCACTAGGGGTATTGTTGTGGCAATGTATTTGTAGGGTTTGCAAACAGGTCGTCCAAAACCTGTGACCTCCAGTCTCAACCAACCCACTACTTCAGGATATTTCCATGCCCGCAGTCTTCCCATCTTCCATGAATTATTCCATGAACGCATATTCCAGTCTTCCAATATTCCATGCATAAAGCAGGAGAGTCGACACCGGAAGATTCATTCGCTGGTGCATGGTTTCTGCCTTCCGACATGGAGCTGAGATCATCGCATTGATTCTCTCGGTGGGTATGGGCCTGCTGACGTATACAGGTCGGTGTTTTTGGTTTGGGTTTGGGGTTTTCGGATTTCGCTGGGATTTGCTTGGTCGACTGAGAAGGCAGATCTGGTCAGTTCTTTTGGAGAAGTTTTGGGCAAGTATAGCTGCTTCATCTTTCAAGATACATCTATATACAGTCTTGGAAAGAGGTTTTAGAGGTCAAGTAGGTGAAGATGGATTTATTCTGTCACTACAGGTGTGAGAGATTCGCATCCTCCATGTCTCTGTTGATTGGGGTCCTCAAATCTTTCACTTCGCAGACCTTGAATATTGACCATATCCCCCATGACTTCGGCCATGTGTGACCATTACTTTCCGATTTTCGTGCGTTTGGCGGCCACGAAAAAGACAGACATCGGCGTTTCTGCCACTTGTTTCCCTTACTTGAACCATTTGTTCATGTCCTCTGCTTGTTTTCGTTTGGGGCGATGGATCTGGGGCTCTGAAGTGGCGAATCGTCGGTGGATGATTCCAAGAGCGACGGGCTCGGTTCCTCGTCGTCGGTGCCACAGGTCCACACACGAATGAGCCAAGGGAGAGACACACTGATGAGGTGATACAAATGAGGTCATACTGATTCAAACTGGTGAGGTCAGATATTGATGAGGTCATACATTGTCATACATACTGGTTACGAATTGAGGTCATATATTCTGTGAGACCCACGCCAGCCATGATCTGCTTTGGAGGTGGTGGCATCATGCGAATCTCAGAAGAGAGCCTTGGAGACAGTTGGTCCAGGGATCTTTGTCGATTGCATCCATTCATGCCATTGGGTTTTTGTTGTGCTTAGTAAGGCGGAGGTCCCAACGCCTGTTCCAACCTGTTTCCAAACAATTTGACGCGTTTGGGGTGCCTAGGATTGTAAGGTTCCCAGAAATTCAACATGTTCCGAGCCTGATCAAGATGCGGGGTTTGATCAAGATGCTCCCTGTCACAATCAAGATTCACCTCAGCTGGTGGATTGTTGCCGGTCAGCCTGGTTTGTTGAATTGGATTGCCCTCCCTCCAACAAACATGGAAGCAATGGTCTTCCAGGGGCCGAAGTGTTCTGCTTGTATAGTGGTTCCACACACTTGTTCAGAAAGAGTGAGTCACACTGCTCAGAAAATGGCTTGGAATGCAAACCTGCCAGATAGGGTCAAACAGCTTTTGACATCGCTCCCTTTTGGCTCGAAAGACCTCGCTGGCACCTACAGCCAGTAGTTGGCTTGAGAAGATATGCTCAAGGAATGCTAAGACAGAAACAACCAACACTTATGAGAGTTATTCAATGGTTTCAATTTCATTCAGGAAAAAGAAGAGGAATCACCTCTCAAAGTAAAATGTAACACCAAGAGGTAGACGGGTAGACATCCTCCTACAGTTGCTAAGATGCCGCTGGTATCACCAACCTTCTGGAGGTATGCAAGCGTGTCAAAAAATCAAAAGAAACCTCCTCGTCATCGGGGCCTCCGGTTCGATTGCCGGGTCTAGAGTCGGTCGGCGCCATGAAGGCTGGAGGCAGGCAGTTTTGGGTGGGTTTGGGTGTATCTGTCTTCGGCGAGGACAAGAGATGGCTCCATAGGGTCAAAGTACAAGACCTTTTGACACTGGTGATCATCTTCTGGACTAGACTTTACCCAAAGCCTTTCGATGAGTCGAGGATGCACACTTTTCTAGAGTGAACAATGAGCGAATTGTTGTTTCCAGCTTTCTCGTGGCGAGTGGGCGAGGCCTGCTGCCGCCGCTAGACCTCAAGATCAGCCTGAGCTTTGCTGATGGGTTGCTTGGCTGAACTTTGGAGAATGTGCATCACAGGATTTCTTGGCAGTTCAGGCTGTTTTGAAGAAGGGATGTCAAGAACCAAACACTTGGAGTGTCTTCGCAGATGTGCATTTGTTTCTAACGAGCTTTTTTGGCTGCTGTTTTACGGCCTCAGAACCCGTGTCACGACACCGGCCAGGCAGGATGTGCAAGAGGCGGATGAACCGGGTGAGGAACGTCCCCGAGACCCGACACGTGAGAGACACGACCAGCTGGAGCCACCCGAGCTGTGGATCTGTCTTGAGGGATCGTGAACCCCGCAGGTGCCATCGATTCGTGAAAACCATGGCGGTTCCTACAGAATCTACCAGTGTTTGCTTGAGGGGGAACAGTGGTTCGTGCATCTATGCATTGGTTTTGGAGCCTCGTTTCACCGCTAGAGGAAGCGAAGGATGTTCTGATTCTTCAAGCAGCGTCATTGGC